ATTTCAACATGGAGATGAATCTATGGTTATGTTATTGAGAATTAAGGATTTGATTATTATTTTGATCGATAATCCTATTATGTTTTTCTATCAGAAGAATCAAATTTGTTTTGACATCATTGGAAACTTGAATAAAATCTACATTCTTGAAATATTTGCTTAATGTAGGAAAATGCACCATTTTTTACAAAATAACATTTCTTCTTCTACCTTCTTATACTTTGGGAATTTAGAAAAATTAACATTATAAAATCATGAAAATGCAAAGAAATGGGAAAAATGCTTTAAACTTGCCGAAATTCTATTGAATTACTATTATTTAATTGATGTGTCATAGTTAAATTAGTCATCACATCTCATATCATTTATTTATTAACTTTGTCTTCCATCCTCTTATGTACGTACACATTGAGCTCTATAAACTGATGTACTCAAGATTGAAAAATGAGGAAAGGATCGTGAATTATTATTAATTTCAGAGAAAAAAATTATTGATTGTTATATTTCAAAACACTAGAGATGTCAATCAGGCTGGGATTGAGCTGAATTGGACTTAACTGGATCGACCATTATTATCTCCGCCCCATGGGAATTGTCTAGAAGCAATGTGGGATAGAGAATAAAAATCCCATTTACCAACTGTATAATTATTTATTTTTAATATTTTTTCAATATAATTTAAATTGAAAAACATAAAACATAATAAAATAAAGAGAAAATTACCTAAAACCAGTTATTTAAGTTTTCAAATTCAAAAATCAGGTGTAATGTTTATTTTATCAAAAATTAGGTGTTAATTAAATTAATAATTAACTCTAATTAAACCTAATTTACAACCTTGTCTTTCATTCATCTCTATCTCTGAAGTCTGAATCGTTTCTTCCCACCCACCCACTCTCTCTCGTCTCTCCCTCCTTGCTCTCTCATATTTCTGTTGTCCTTCCTCGTACCATCACCGGAGACCACTGACGCTACTGTGAACGCCAGCAGATGGCAGACGCTAGTTGTCGATGAATTTCATGGCGAGGTAAAATCTGATTCCATTAATGGCGAGATTTTATCATGGCTTGATGGATGTCCTGATAAGCCAGTTATGTATATTTGTTTTGGGAGTCAAAAGGTACTCAAGAATGGGCTCGTCTGGAGTGGAGTCCGGTTCATATAGGTGGCGAAAGCCGCTGACAGCGAAGCAATTGGCAGAGGGTTTTGGACCGGTCCTTGAGGGGTTCGAACAGAGGCAGAGGGTTGTTCTTCATTGGAATCACAAGGGCGGAGCTCTTCAAGCATGTTTGAACTGGAGAGTAAACCTCTTCAAGGTATTTCAATTTTTCCCTTATATTTACTTGCTTATTTGCGTATTTTAATCGAATAATGTGAAATTCTTTTCAAATTAGTATACATCTTACTTTTCTTTTTGAGATTTTGCATTTTCAGTCTTTCTTTCCTTCTTCCCCTTAATTTTTGCCTACTGTCATCATTTTATAAATTACTTGCCATTGTTCCCTGTGTAACGTGAACATCTCTTTAGGAAATGTAAGATGTTAAATTTTAGTTTCTTTATCGAATCTACCGTTATAATTCAATTCTGCTGCTTATGCTATCAATTCTTCATTTTATTAATTATGTTGCTTATGCTATTAATTCTTCATTTAGGTTTGATGGGTGTCCTGATGAGTCAGTTCTGTATGTTTGTTTTGGGTGTCAAAAGGTGTTCAAGAAAGCACAAATGGAGGCTTTGGCAAATGGGCTCGACCGAAGTGGAGTCCGGTTCATATGGGTGGTGAAGCCGTTGAAAGCGGAGCAATTAGTGGAGGGTTTTGGATTGGTCCTTGAGGGATTCGAATAGAGGGTTTTGGGTCGATGGTTAGTTAATTGAAAATGCAGATGTAGAAAAATGGTTAGAACTAGAGCAGTAGATATAGTATCAGGCTAATTTTTGTTTTTGTGGGAGCTCCCAGGCCCTATAAATTCTGTTTCCACATTAGAATTCGACTAGATTGTTAATTAAATGAAAAAAAAATAACGCTGTAATGGCCGTAATATACCGTGATGAAGCTTGAAAATATGGCCACGAGGCTTGATGAATACTGATTAGTTGTACCACGCGTAGGGCGTGCACCTTTGTTTGAAATTTGGGGATTTTTGGACATTTATGAGGAAAATTGCTGGTTTCCTAATAGAACTTTGAAAAAATGTGGTGTTGGTTATACCCAGTAGCTTTCACTTTATCATGGACTTCAATAAATGCCATGTGGATTTGAGGTGAAGGTAATATTTATGAACATCGATTTGGTGGTGCATTGGAGGTGATGGTTATGGTGGTGGATTGCGATACTTGTATGCGTTGTGTGCAGATTTGTTTGTGGTGATCCTATGCGACCAAATATGTGTTTGTTGTGACTATTTGTGACCAATTTTGTATTGATTGTGATCGATTGTGGCTTGAGATTGATCTGGTCACAGACAGACGCACTGAATATAAATTTGGTCACAGTCAGTCACATCAAAAACAAAGTTGGTCTTGATTAATCACATGTCAATGATAAGATTTGTTTATGATGACCTTATGCGACCAAGTATGTGTTTGTGAATGCATGTGACCAATTTTGTGTTGATTGTGATCGGTTGTGACTTGAAATTGACATGGTCACAGGTAGTCACACTGAATACAAATTTGGTAACAAGTAGTCACATTGAATACAAATTCGATCACAGTTAGTTACTGATAACTCGAAAATTTAATAAGATATTATTAATTGATATATTATTAATTTGGTGGGGTTTGATGGGGAGGGGATTTTATTAATTTGGTAGGATAATTAATTCTAATTGATTATATATTATTAATTGAAATTAACACTAGAAAGTCGTATACATTATTGATCACAAGAGGTCACAATCGACACAAACTTGGTCACAAATAATCACAATTAACATGGTCACAAAATTTTAAGCGTAAATGGATTTTGTCACAAACATTCACTGTTAGTACATACTTGATCACATTTAGTTATAGGGAAGACAAATATGGTCATAGAAAGTCACAATGAAGACAACTTTGGTCACAGTTAGCCACTAATAACACATGCATGGAATGAGGGTTGTTCTTCATTGGAATCACAAGGGGGAGCTCTTCAAGCATGTCAGAACTAGAGAGTGACTAATTTTGTGTTGATTGTGACTGGTTGTGACTTGAAATTGACATAGTCATAGATAGACACTCAATACAAATTTGGTTACATTTAGTCACATTGAATACAAATTCGGTCACAATTAGTCACTGATGACTTGAAAATTTAATAAGATATTATTAATTGATAATATTATTAATTTATATATTATTAATTTGGTGGGGTTTGATGGGGAGGGGATTTTATTAATTTAGTGGGATAATTAATTCTAATTGATTATATATTATTAATTGAAATTAACACTAGAATGTCATATACAATGCATTATTGGTTACAAGAGGTCACAATCGACACAAACTTGGTCACAGATATTCACAATTAACATTAAATGGTCACAAAATTTTAAGTGTAAACGGATTTTGTCACAAACATTCACTGTTAGTACAGATTTGATCACATTTAGTTATAGGGAAGACGAATATGATCACAGAAAGTCACAATGAAGACAAATTTGGTCACAGTTAATCACTAATAACACATGCACGATCACAAACTATAACATATAATATCAAACATGGTCACAAATAATAACAGTTTACACAGAATTGGGCACAAATAGTCATTGTGAAACAGAACTTGGTTACATACAGCACAAAAACACACAGTCAATAGGTCACTGACTCGCAGTCTTATGAAATACAAAAAACTGTTCAAAAATTAAGAATTAAGAATTATAGAAATCTATTCAACATAAAAATGCACCAAATTAAATGATTAATCGACTAAAAAACTACCGCTATATTTATACACATTCTGTCTTCTTATTCCCCTAAAAAAATGGCAACAAAACAATATGTGATTTGTCCATCAACAATATAGTCAAAGCCTTATCATTATTTCCAATCAACCTTCATCACTTATTACCAATAGTATTACCATTAATGCAGCATGGATACCAACTACCACTAAAACTAACTGGTGCAATTTTTTCATTCTAAAGGGCCAATTTCTTGCACTCATGTATCGTGTATAAATAGTAAATACCAATTTGTTGGCTATCTTGATTATCGTTTGGACACAGAACAACACCTCNATAATTAATTCTAATTGATTATATATTATTAATTGAAAATTAACACTAGAATATCATATACAATGCATTATTGGTCACAAGAGGTCACAATCGACACAAACTTGGTCACATATATTCACAATTAACATTAAATGGTCACAAAATTTTAAGTGTAAACGGATTTTGTCACAAACATTCACTGTTAGTACAGATTTGATCACATTTAGTTAAAGGGAAGACAAATATGATCACAGAAAGTCACAATGAAGACAAATTTGGTCACAGTTAATCACTAATAACACATGCACGATCACAAACTATAACATATAATATCAAACATGGTCACAAATAATATCAATTTACACAGAATTGGGCACAAATAGTCATTGTGAAACAGAACTTGGTTACATACAACACAAAAACACACAGTCAATAGGTCACTGACTCGCAGTCTTATGAAATACAAAAAACTGTTCAAAAATTAAGAATTATGAATTATAGAAACCTATTCAACATAAAAATGCACCAAATTAAATGATTAATCGGCTAAAAAACTACTGCTATATTTATACACATTCTGTCTTCTTATTCCCCCAAAAAAATGGCAACAAAACAATATGTGATTTGTCCATCAACAATATAGTCAAAGCCTTATCACTATTTCCAATCAACCTTCATCACTTATTACCAATAGTATTACCATTAATGCAGCATGGATACCAACTACCACTAAAACTAACTGGTGCAATTTTTTCATTCTAAAGGGCCAATTTCTTGCACTCATGTATCGTGTATAAATAGTAAATACCAATTTGTTGGCTATCTTGATTGTCGTTTGGACACAGAACAACACCTCACCACGACCACTAACAATCAAACCTCCATCAACACACCACAATCACAACCCAACAAAAAACCCCAAAGTCGTCGCTGCCACCACCTCAAATCCACGGAGAAGAGAGAACAGATTGTGTCCATCTTGCAACCCAAAACCACAACCACCAGAATCACCCTCACCACCATTTTTGGCCGCCAATAGCAATTGACAGAACCGCCCCAGTCACGACTTCGGATATCGAATTTCGAGGCAATTGAACAGCAATTGGATCAATTAAATGTGTACCCACTGTCTTTTGAGTATGAATTTTATTTTCTCCCATGTGAATTTGTTGATTGAACAATGTAGGAACCATCAATTGAATGGCAGACGATTGCCTTTTTCACGGGCCGCAAGCTCTGAAACATGGTTGGCTTCCCAATTCATCGGGTCTTCGTCTTTGCCTTCCTCTGCTGCACGCAATTTATTCCGAAGTGGTGTTTCCCTCTGCCTACTCCACCTCCTCTTCGTTGTCACTGGAGAGATTTGAGAGTGGAAACTTTGATCAGTTTGATGTATTGGACAAAGAGCATAGAGAGAGAGAGAGAGAGAGAGAGAGAGAGAGTGGATAGAGAGAAAGTGGAGAGATATTCGTTGGAATTTTATTGATTTGGTGGGGTAGGTACGTTTAGGGTGGGATGCTATTAATTGGTTGGGATAATAATTTCAATTAATTTTATATTATTAATTAGAATTAACACCTGATTTTTGAAATAATATTACAAGTTTGTTAGTTTTGAAATTTATTTCTTAAATGCATGAGTTATGTATTGTTCCCTAAAATAAAAGATTCGGGCATGTTAAAAGAATTCATAGCGAGACAATGCAAGGCGAAGAATTTTGGCATCCTATTCGAGGTAGATACTAAGAATTTAGGTTTTCTTCACGTGCAATGAGTACCAAATCTTTAATTGCCTTGTTATCGCACTGTCATGTTTCAATGTTTCATATTCGAAGCTGAAATGGGCCAATACTTTAAATTGTAAAGTATGGACTAGCCTGAAAGTATTTGTACATTTTTGTGGTCCTTCTAAAGCAATACATTTCTTTGGCCCATTGTGGAATAGGTAACGATCTTCACGCATTGAGTGCACTTCTGGTGTACAATACAGTAATTATAAATTATTATTGTTAGATTTGTTTGGACTTTTAAAAAGTCAAAAGTTGATTTTAAATATATATTTGAATAGTTTTATAAAAGTATTTTATCTAGTTAGAAGAACTTTAAAAGAAAGCTCGCCTTAAGTCCTGCCGAACAAACTCGTAATTAGTTGAGATAACAAAAAATTAAGGGCATTTAAAAAAAAAAAAAAATCTCCAGCAAGGTCGACCATGATAGGTTGCATTTTTTGTTAATAAGATAAGGAAAAAAGTATAGAGAGGGAGGCTAGGCCAGATTTCAAAAATAAAATTATATCCCATTTTTGCAGAGCAGGATTATGAAAATCCACGAGAAGCGACTGGGCGTATTGTATCTACTCTATTTTGACACGTGAAAGATCTAGCACGCTCATTATCATCACTGCTAGAGGATTGTGCAAAATCACTATCACATCTCCTTGATAATCTTCTGCATTGACGTAGTGAAGATTAAAGTAAATTGGTGTGGTTGATACTCTGAACTCGCAGTCTACACGTGTTGCCCCTAGTTTGACTGATTGCTTGCTAATGAAGATCTAGCTTTTTAATTATACATAATACTGTAGACAGTAGATTCTACAATTGAGAAAATCGAATAGATCAAACCACTAGCAATCCTGCAGAAAAGTAGAACGAGGAAAAAAGACAGCAAAAGATCTTAAGAGGACACCTATGTAGTGCCGGCCGAAGATCCTCCGATGATCAAATCAATAAAGCTTGTCAAAGATTATATGAATGTTAGACGGAAAGAAGGAAGAAGTAATTTAGAGGAGAGTAGATTTTTATATACTTGAACGTAAGACTGACCATGAAATTTATAGCAGTGGGATAACCGTCTAGGCGGAATTGGCCCAAGACTCGAAGAGATTTTATGATTGGTTGGAGTTGAACCCGATAAGATATGTTCGGTAAAGATACCCAAACTATACAAATAACTCATACTTGATCTTGTTAAATCATAGCTTGATTTATTTTGAAGATAACACGTGGGTGTTGGACCGTGCATTTGGCCCGATCAACGTAACGAATTCGGCTAAAGATGGCGCGTTTGTTAAGTTGACCGTCTGTGGGCCTTATTTTTTAACTTGGGTCATTTGGGCTAGTGGAATAATTTTTACCACTACAAATACTCGTCTCATGAGTGTAACTATAATCAACGACTGGTAAAACCAAGATAGATATTATACCCCGTTTGGTACCGATTAAAATCTAGATTTTAATCTGTAAAAGTTAACAATTTATTTAAATCACATATTTTATGAATCTCGAGACTTTTCAATCACACATTTTATCAATTTTAATAAAAATCTACCAAAAATTTAATTTTAATCTTCATCAAATAAAGACTATCTAAATTACTGCACGAACGTGACAACGTAACAAGATATTTGAAAATTAATTTTTCTTTAAATTAAATTCAAAACCTAAATCTTTAACCTAGTCAAATCTAACCTTATATGTCAGAAAGCAATTTCCAACAATCTCCTGACTGCTTTAGCAAAAGCTTTAACATTAGCAGTACGAAACAGTTGCATTTAATAGCTACTCGGCCTCACGTCGCCGCCGCACACGGGCCACCCGCCTCCGTGCTCGGCCTGTCACTATCCAACCACTTTCGCCGCCAACCTCCTCCCGCCAAGTGTCCGACGACTTGCATCCCAAGAAGAAAGGGTAAGTTATGACGTAACCCTCCATCCTGTCCCCACCCTTCTTAATTCATACGCGCAGATTCATAACTTCTAGTTTATTTGCACATTTTTGAAATTTTCCATTATTTTTATTTTAAAAAAACTGATAAAAATTCAAAGTTAACGTCCGACCATTATTTCAAAACTCTTTAATTTTCATACTCATTTTTAACCACACGTTAATACAATAAAATATTTTACATGTTAACCCAAAAAAATTTCATATTTTTAACCACATTCTTAAAAAAAATTACTATTCAAAACTCTATTTTCTAATAATAATGGCCATCAAACGGAGGCTTTAACGACCCATTTTATAGAAGTTACAATTTTTATCAATTTATCAACTTTTATCAAAATCTGTTAAATATTTTATCAAAATTTTTGTCAAATAATTGCCTAGTAAATTTTATTATCGCAATTTAAAATTCATGTGTTTTCATAAATTAATTAAAAATACCACGTGGCGTAGTAGGCCCCATATGTTCTCCGGCCATCTAGCCGACCGTCGATGACCAAATCCGATAACCGCATAATAAAGACTATTGTGTATCTATAAGATGATATTATAATTAAACTTCCATTAATTAAGAATATGTACTTTGATCATTTTGTTTACTTTATTCTCCTCTCTTGAGAAAAAAAAGGTTAAAGTTTGATGGTAGCTTTAAATTTATGCATTCCAATTTCAAAGAAAAAGTTCAAATTTTGTATTTGCCTAATCTTTGTGCCATCACTTTTTTTTAAGTGGATTATCAATGCTCGTAATTGCTTGCCTTTCCCTTGCTCCCTTGGACACATAATGTCTTATTATTGATTTCGATTTTTACCATGATCTCAAGTGTGTGTCACATTGTCAATAAATCAAACTCATACAATATATCATTTTTTTGTCACGCTTACAATTATATATGAACTTGAATCCATATCGAGCTCACGTACATGATTATTTATGTAAGAGACTCTCGTGACAATGATGAAATGTATATTTGTGAGTTTTATGAACTATTGTGTGAGAACGCGAATAATTCATCAACTCGTAGGAAAGAATAAACAAATCTATAAGAAAAAGTGCCCAAAAATGAGCCTCTCCCACGTTGTATATATTTAATCTCAGCAGAAAATTAACATTTTTCCCGGATCACAAAATTGAAAATCAAAATGAAGGGAAAAAAAATGAGAAAATTCAAAAAAAAAAAGAAAAAACCCTAATGAACTTCTTCTTGGATCACTTGGGATTGCGAGGTCTCTTCATTTTCTTGTTTTGGCTTCTCAGCCATTTCTATATTTTCCTTCTTTCCATTTCCATCTCCAAATGAAGAAGCCCTACTCGACATGGGGGTGGCCAAGAAAGTTGGCTTAACATCACCAGCCATAATCACCACAATCTTCTCTTCGAAAGGCAGCGCCGCCATCGCAGCCGTGGCGTTTTCACCTTTATGATCATCATCACCGCCCTCGACGTCTCTTTCACCCTCTCCGGGGCCATTCATTTGGTCGGAGAGTTTCCAGTATGAACAAGCTAAGATCAAGAGAGCAAAAGCTATAAGTCCCAGCATCGCGGCCAGGCCGCCGAAGAGGTACGGTACCGGAGAGTGCCACGGCGAGCGCTGGATGGTAGAGGCGGCCGGCGGAGAAAATGTTGTCTTTGCCATTATTGTTGCTTCTTCTGCTGTCATTTTTGATGGTGCAGTGTTAATAAATGTGCCTAAACCAGTTCTCATTTTTTTTTTTAATGGGAGATGAAGAAGATATATAGAAATGGTGCAATTGTTTGAATTTGTTTTGTGAAAAGAGAGAGGAGAAGAGGTGTATTTATAGAGAGAGAAAAGTTTGGGGGCAGTGCTTTCTGCTTAGGTCACTCATGGATATGGCCAGGTTATGTCTAACAAAGTCCCCACTGGAGGAGACTGATCCTATGCATCCGGGTGCTGTCTTGCCACCATCCCGTCATGTTCAATTTGTTTTTGTTATTCCTAAAAAAGGTGTTCGATGAAGTCACATTGAGTTAGCTCTTCGACTCCATAAACCATTTTCAAAAAATTATTTAAACGGATGCAAAATTACTTTTTTATTCTCGAAATTAGCTTTTAGCTTTCAAAAAGGTTCTTAGCTCCCGTTTGGGCCACCTTTTTATCTCATTAAAATGAAAAATATGATCGTTATTCATCACATCAACATTTAAATTCAAATTTTCTATCTCTTGTATAACCCCCAATAACGAATATATTTTTCATTCTCATTCTACAACAAAAGGTGGCTCGAATATGGACTGTATGCTTATTTGCCAAAGCTTGAGTTATAATTTTAACTTTAAACATATATTTTATTTACATATTCCATAGGATTCACAAGCACGTTCACATATTTTTTGAGTTTTCGAAAGAATCTTACTACATTTAAACTTAACCAAACATGCTCTAAACAAATACATTAATTGCTTATCTTGGAGGATTTCATGTGAAACTCATAAATATCATTCTAGGATTTAGGGATAAATTTCCAGTCAATTAGGGTGTGTTTGACACCCATTTTGGAGAAGAATAAATTCTGAAATAGTGATTGATGGGAAGAATGTGTGGTTAAAAAGTAAGAAGAACTTTTGGATTTATGAGTAATATTATTTTATTGATAGAATGTGTGGTTGATATGAAGAAAAAAAATGAAAAAGAGAATAAGAAGAGAATAGATGTCAAACAGGGGTTAAATTAGTAGATGTTACAATACGATTTTAATTTATTAATAATCTAATATTTCATTTTTGTTATTAATTTTACAATTGAAGATAAAAATAAATAAATCAATATGTAACGTCTCTCATACAGTAGATTTATATATTAGGGCATGTTTGATAGGCCATTATTTTTCATGAAAAATGGAAAATAAATTCCAACTTCCACTTTTGCCTTATTTGATACACTTTTTTTCATGGAAAAAACTTTCTTGGTTTGGCCTACATGCTCACATTTTCCTTGATTTTGTGGAAAATCAATTTTCACCAATTTGGTGGAAATTGATTTTCCATCTTTTTTTTTTTGGCAATGGGAAAAAATTCTAGATACAATGGTAAAAAAAGTTATCACTTTTATTAATAATTTTCATGCAAAATAAAGTCAAACAAATGGTAAANAATTAGAACAAATTCTAAACTCAATTGTAGAAACTATCGCGTTAATGGACAATTTGCATAAAAAAAGAAGCTAACAGACACCAAATTTTCAACATTTTTCAAGTGGAAAATTATATCAATCGAACACAATTAATTACAATTCTCAGTAATACAATTTTTAGGCAATTCAATTCCCTGTAAAACATTTTCTTTCCACTCATTTTCCATATTTGCAATCAAACAGACTCTTATTGTAGAAATTCATGTACTCACAAAGTTTCACCGTTAGAAAAGATTTACGAATAATATTGTTTATATGAAAAATTGAATTCAACCTACACATGAAAGGACGTATTTATGCTCGTATTTTGTCTTTTATATAATTTTCTCATTTAGTGTTTAAGGGGCCCTAGCAAGCATTTATGACTATAATAATCTCTGTGGAGCCCAATAAACATAAAGCTGTCTATAGAATATAACATCTACTCCGGTGAACCTATTTTTGTAATTAAAAGGGTTTGGTCTTTGAGCATAGAAATTTGATGCTGGCATATTTTATTACCACATAGTTTATGTTGGCTGTCGATTTTTCAACAACCTAAACAAAATGGATTGCTAATTGGATTAAATTTGCAATATTTAATTGAATTTCGATTATGAATAGGCATCCGTCCTACTGTTGAAAGCGAGACGCTAAGGAATATTAGCCACGAGTAGAATTTATAAGTTATAAGAAGACTTGTCTCAGGGTTTCGATACAATTTGTTAAATTTTAAGAGAAAATCTAAAATGTTAAATGATTAGCTAAACGTATTGCACAACACAAGTATCCTTTTTAATATCGTTGAACAATCAACAATTAACAATTGTGATAAAAAACTTGATATGAAACATATTTTGATAAAAAAAATCATGTGATAACACGATAGAGATTTTAAATTTTTATGTCACGGAAGAGATTGATTATGCAGCGATAATAAAATGTTGAAGATTAACTTTCTACTCGAACAATAAGTCAAGAATTTTATGGAAAATTAACCTTTATTCCATTAATCTACAGGGAAAATGCACTCAGATTTTGGAGTGTGATTGGAGGTGGGTGTATCATGAAAGCGGGTGCAATCATTAAGCAAGATATGAATAAAGAATAGAATTGTGGGTAAAGCCACCATCAATTATAATTGGCTTTTCTTTAGCTTTGTCTCATTATTTTGCTTTATGATTAATGATTTAGGATTCTTCGTCAGATTTCTACTTTTGCTTGTACTTTTAGTGGAAGAGTTTTTCGAAAGAATTACTTTAATTCAATTTTCCCTAAACGTCCTTTTGACTATACAAAATATTTCCATAAAATTATTCAGATATATTCAAAAGCAGTATCTTATTCTTAAAATAAGTTTTATCTTTTTCAAAAATCCTACTAAACCTTCATCTTGTTACACTTTACTAATCTCACCCCATTGTGAATAATTAGCCCATAGAAAAGTTTCCCAATTCCCATGCATAGTTTTTAGATAAGATTGAGATTTTTATGGAACATTTTTCGTTAAGGTGTGTGTATGTAATTCTTTATTGTCTGTTTTAACACGATACTTGATAGAATATAGCAACTTTAAAGAAGAAAAAAATTATATTTATTGTAATCTCCGATTATATCCAATATTGTTCATTAAGAACACCCTTAAGGTTGTTCACGCAAATCACTACAATTTTACAAGACAACTATGAAGAACAAACACTTCATATTTGCACCAATAAATTTTTTAAAAAATATAGCTGATTTTTTCCAATTTCCAATTCGCAATTTGTTGCCAACCTTTATCCAAAGTATTTGCATAAATCAAGATTTGAATCTACCCTTCTTCAAATGAATAAAGCATAATAATATGTCATTCCAATAGAGGGATCACCAATTCACCATATGTTACTTTCATTGTATAGTGTGACTTCTATAAGTTCTATTGCCCATGTATTGGGTAGAAATTCTTCTTCACATTAAAAACCGACATTAAGAATCAACCTAGTTGGATCTACTTTAGTCACACCAAATTATTCTGTCTCTTGGGAGATTAAGATTAGGGTGAATATGTTCTTAGTTTTAATCACAAAAGTCAATGTCAGGTTACACCAAAAGTATGTAGAGAAAGGAAAGATGCAAAATAATCTTTCGCACATCAAGTTCAGTTGATTTAAGATTTATCGAAAGATATGATCACTTGAAAATCCGTTATCAAAAAGTTTGGCACGATAGATTCTTTTAATTTGTAAAGGATAAGATGCCGAGAAGTTATAAGAATCCGATTGTTGCTTGGTATGAAGTCATTAATAATTGATTGCGTGATATTCTAATGAATTTATACCCTTGAATTGCAAGTTGTTTTATTGTATAATTTTACAATATAAATCTTTCTAGAAGTATTAATCTAACCTACGTTTTAAATATAAAATGATGGGATAAAAATTATTCATATTGTACCATTTTGAAAAATCACATTATATTTTGCGAAATGATTATTTTATGATATCTTTTTTTAACCAAAGTCGTAATGTTACACTATTGATATAGGTGTGGTCGTTGTGCATTTTACTTGACTCGAACTATGGAACTCTTTCAAAAAGATGTGAAATACAACACACACTATAATCAAATATTTTCCATAAAAATACACAATTTTTTTAGCTCTGTTAGGCACCATGGAGCTAAAAAGAAACAGGCAAATCGGTCAAGGGTGGGGGCCCGGAAGCACCACCCGGCACCACCATTTCATGTCCCCATCTCCACCGGGAAAAGCCTTCCCGCCCCCCACCACCATCTTTTCAAGTCCTAGTCATTCTCTATTTGGAGCATTTTGATAATGGCACAACTAAGTTTTGCATGGAAAGAAGGAATATTTACAACAAATGAAAGGACAAGCAATGTCTTGTTTTTATTGCAACATTAAACCATATCCTAGATAGTGTGTTTAACTTATGGACCCAAGATTTCATCAGCATCCACTAATTGGAAAAAAGCAAACTCAACTCTACTTTTTTTCCTTTTGTTAAACTAATTACCAATACAAGGACTTTATAGTGAAATTGAAGATAAGATTTTGTATTATTTAGATTCTAATCGAATTATTTGTACTAGTTGAATATCATATAATGTTATGCGAATTCAAGAAATCAGTTTATAGATTTTAAGAATAATTGAGAACTAAACGTGTTCAACAGATAAGACATTTTCAAAAATAAAAATATTGTACAACTATCTAATATTGTGTATAAAATATATCGACTAAAGTGATTATGTTATAAGGAAAAGAGAACTGTTTGCATTACATGGGTCTGTTTCACAAGTCCCTGCCAAGTTAGACACGAAGGAGGGGGGCCACATTTTTTTTTATTAATATATTGGGGTGGGGCCCGCGCTACAGTGAGGGGTCTGTAAAACCCCTGTGAAAAATTTTCCTGTACACCAAGAATTATTCTATAGAAAAAGTGTATGAGATAGAGAGAGAGCGCGCGAGCGAGCGCGCTATGTTTGTTCCCATGAGAGGGTGAATACATGACATATTTCATTTCTTAAGTCAGCCATATAACTTATGGACCCAAGATTTCATCAGCATCCACTAATTGGAAAAAAGCAAACTCAACTCTACTTTTTTTCCTTTTGTTAAACTAATTACCAATACAAGGACTTTATAGTGAAATTGAAGATAAGATTTTGTATTATTTAGATTCTAATCGAATTATTTGTACTAGTTGAATATCATATAATGTTATGCGAATTCAAGAAATCAGTTTATAGATTTTAAGAATAATTGAGAACTAAACGTGTTCAACAGATAAGACATTTTCAAAAATAAAAATATTGTACAACTACCTAATATTGTGTATAAAATATATCGACTAAAGTGATTATGTTATAAGGAAAAGAGAACTGTTTGCATTACATGGGTCTGTTTCACAAGTCTCTGCCAAGTTAGACACAAAGGAGGGGGGCCACATTTTTTTTTTTATTAATATATTGGGGTGGGGCCCGCGCTACAGTGAGGGTCTGTAAAACCCCTGTGAAAAATTTTCCTATACACCAAGAATTATTCTATAGAAAAAGTGTATGAGATAGAGAGAGAGCGCGCGAGCGAGCGCGCTATGTTTGTTCCCATGAGAGGGTGAATACATGAGATATTTCATTTCTTAAGTCAGCCATGTCCTCTTCATAGATAAGGATTTGGGCACCCACAATAAATAATCATGCTGTCACATCAACTATGCTTTGCCAAAGGTACACTATAATCTTCCCCTTTAAGGTAATATCAGTTTTTGTTAATTCATAGATTAACCATTTAATTAAGCGAGAGTGGTGGTTTGATAATTATTCTTTCTTTTGTGATTGTCATTTTTTATTTTTGTGATTGATTTGATCTTTTATTCTCGTTCTTAAGATTTCAGTGAAATCATAACAGTTTTGATTCTGTCATTTTGAAATGAGTTAGATTTGGATTATAAAAGAGTTCATATCGACTCTTGGTGTTAGGACCTAAATTTTGGCAAGTGGACAATTGGAAATTAACGAAGGGCCAGACAACATGCTTTCTTGTGATGAAGGCCCCCTTCAATTCAACCGGATGGCACAAAACAACGAGTTTTTGATATTCCAACGGGATATAGATGATGTATAGTATTTCATTTTAAAACTTAAGACATTGTTATTATCGTAAATATTTGAACCTCTTGTTCGTCTGGACTTGAGTAAGGACCTTCATACTTGAAATTTCAAAAAAAATGAAAACAAGGAATGTTCCATATTTTAGTGCTATTTCTGTAAGTCATTATTTTATAGAATGGGCATAATATTTACTTCAGTTGGACTGCAAGGCATCCAGCCCACCAAAGCCCAATTATCAGTGCAAGAAGCCCAATCTGACAAAATTGTAAAGAGAATAATTCATAAATAAGATGTTTAATTTTACCAATTTCAAATGTAAGAAATTAAGTTTAAAATTTCAAATTTCAGAATTTTTTTAATTTTATTTATAAATTAATTAATTAAACATATATTTTATTAATTAAATATATTAAAGTCACAATTCCATATAATTTGATCACAAATTCTATATAATTGGTCACATATTATTAATTTGTCACAAATCACAAATTTTACATGTCATAAATTATTTTACAGTCACNCACAACTTATCCATCGGTCACAAATCACAAATATTATAAGTCACAACTTAGTAGACATTTACAAATTGTCAAATTATCAGTTAGAAATTAACAATTTTTTAGGTCATTCATTATTTCTTGATCACAATTTATATTTTTCATCGGTCACACATTGTTTATCGGTCACAACTTAATGAATTTAATTGTCACAAACGACCAAATAATTTGTGACCACACCAAAACTTGTGACCAACACCCACCAACAGCATGACAACCGAACCCCTGCCGAAACCACCACCTCCCGGCAACAAACTATCATATAAAAATACCGACATCACCACGAACACCACCACCCACCCACCCACAACCACCACCAACAACAGTAGCACAACCACAACCACCACCAACGATATTTTAAAATATCAAAATTTCTTATTCAGATAGAAAGGCTAGAAGAGGAATTATCAAGCAAAACTATTGATGGACAAAGAATACAGGAAGAAAAAAAGGCATTGGAAAGAAATATTCTGGAATTGGAGACAACGCTAAAAGAGAGAGTCGATGAAGTCATTTCTGTCGAGAAAAAAATGGACGACGTGCAGAATGAAGCGTCCACTGAAATTGATGCATTAACAGAACATGTTAACCATTTGCATCAGTAAATAGACTCACTGTAGTCAGGTAAAAGCCAGTTAAAGGAGCTAATAGAAGACGTAAACAAGAGTCTGGAAAGTTTGGCTCAAACCACCGTACAAAACAAAATCCAATCGGATCGAGGCGGCGCTACAATCAAACCACCAAACAAAGAGAAACTCCAGCAAATCAGTTGCTCCCCACTGTGAGCGTTGGTGCCAATGAAGACAGGAGCGAGATGAGAGGTAGAGAAAATGAAAATTTAGGGTTTGGGAAAATGAGGTAGAGTGGATGGAGATAGGGTAGCCGTCACCGTCGCCGAAGCCGAAGCCGAAGCAGATTAATTTTACATGTTGATGTCAAAGCCCGACGTCAACAGGTAAGAGGAAGACATGGGTATTGATTTGGGATTTTAGGATATTTAGGGTTTAGGTTAGTATTAATAATTTGAATTAATATCTGATTTTTGTATAAATAAAGTTTATATCTGATTTTTGAAATTGAATTTTTGAAATTCTGGTTTAACGTAATTTTCACAATGGTAAATTTGTAGGATTTCCACTGTCTGCGTGGCGGCTTCTTATTCGCTTCTACATTGTCACTCACGTTACAGACTCACTGCCCGGTTCACTGTATTAGATGTAAACCGGGCCCATACCCGCCTAGACGATCTAAACCGAACAGGCCGGCTTTTAATTTCTTATGGAAAAATGAAAAACCCCCAGATTCCGATCATAGATTTGTATTAAATCAGAATTCCTTTATTTGTGTAAAACGAGTATTTAATTACTCCAATTTTGAGCTGAAAACATCAATTTTTCTTTTTATCTGTTCACACAAAGTAATTTTATAGTTAAATTAAGAAACTGTGATTTCTATGGTGGAAAATGGAGGGGGAGCTGAAAGAGTTGTTGAGTGATCTCAAAACTCAAAAAAACTATTTGCCTGATCGCTCTGATTACTCGCTGATTGATAAGGTATTTATTTAAGTATTAATTGTTTATGTTCAATTCATTTGGTTCTTTATTGATGGTCTTGTATTGTTGTATTGACATGAAATTTGGGCCATAGAACTGGAATTTCTACGGGAAATGGAACGGAAGTGTTTGGGAGTGTGTGGTATTTTTATATTTCTGCTTTCAGAAATAAATTTTAGGATCAAACAGAATTTGGTTTTCAAAGAACAAAATCAGTACATATAAATTTAGATATCTGGAATAAAGTAATCGAGGCTATCTATTTAATCTTATTAAATAGGGAGGTAGAGAGAAGAAATAGAAACAAGGAATTTTTTCCTCCACGTTCCATTGGAGTTCCCGTGGGAGATATTTTGGTTAATAAGAATGTGAGGTCTTATTAACAGCCTCATTGCTTATGCTTCGATTTTGTCAAAAATACCTGATTTAGCGTTTACAAATATTAATTGCTTGCGACACAACACCAGAATAACAATATGTGATGACTGTAAAACTACGTTTTTAAGCATCAATTTTTATGTGTTTGTATATAGTCTCACCGTGTATGGTATATTGATATGGGAGTGTTGTGTTCGTAGATGCAATCACGTGTTGAGCATTTTTTTAAGACAGCAGCATCAGGGCCAGGACAGCGTTCAAAAATCAAGGTTGTCGTGTTAAAAATTTGTATCATTAAATGCTATATCCAAGTGAAGCAATAAGCTCAATAAGATGTGCATACTTTTTTGCTTTACAGGATATGAGCGCTGAGGTGGTTGATAGCAATCCTTACAGTAGACTAATGGCACTTCAGAGAATGGGTATTGTGGACAATTATGAAAGAATTCGGGAGTTCTCTGTTGCCATAGTTGTCTGTACCTAACTCCTCTCTTTTTTGAACTTCTGTTTTGTTATGTATTCAGTTTTTCCAGAAGTTTAGTGTACTAAATTATAATGCTCATGATTAATAATGTTAATGATTCGCCAAGTGTAACAATAACCTATCACTTTTCAATGGAGAATATTTACATATATCACAGCAATTGATGCCTTCCTAGCTTCCTCCAGTGTCTGATTTTGAGTCTTGAATCTTTCTAATGCATTTACTTGTAGTCTGTAGGTTAATAATCTTCTGTAATCTTTGTATTGGTATCTATACCGAAAGGGTAGACTGTCAACTGATGCTTAGATTCTACCGTATTCCTTTACAGGGTATAGGTGGTGTTGGCAGTGTTACAGCTGAGATGTTAACAAGGTGTGGGATAGGTCGCCTTCTGTTGTATGATTATGACACAGTGGAGTTGGCTAACATGAACCGGCTATTTTTTTCGTCCAGAGCAGGTGTTCCTAGAGAAATATTTTCAATTTTGAGATATAAGAATTTCTCAGCAGCTATATTCATTGACTTCGTGAAATAGTTGAGCCTCACTTATTTCATATTGATTAATCTTGTTAAACTTTTCACCCATGGACTTTGTTAGTTTACTTGTCACGCCATAAGCTAGGAGAAGCGTAAGAACTGCTGGAAAATGCTAGGTTATTGAGCTGTACTATGCCTTTGTTTGGGTTCTGTTTTCTTTTCGTTAAGTTTTACTCTTCAAAGTCAAATATTAATTTTGACCACACATTTCATACGACTCACAGGTACTATCTACTTATCCACTAGCATTCATTTCTTGAAAAGTTAAATTTAAGTAAAAGAAAATGAAACCCAAAGAAACTTTATTTTGGGAATTTTCGTTAAAAGAAAGAAAGCATAGTTGAAATTTAAGAGGCGTTAACCGTGTGGAAATATTTACCTTATCTAGTTTGAATAAAAAGTGCATGAACCTTGGAAATCATACTTGTAGAAGTTTTTGTCATCTTCTTCCAACTATTTCAGCATGAGATTGCAGGGTCGAGTAAACCATTTTTCTCCATTTATTTAAAGAGATTTTTGTTTTTCCACTTTATCCTATTTCAAACATAGTATCAAGACATTTTATATTCCCTTTTATAGGCTGGTATGACAAAAACAGATGCTGCTGTCCAAACTCTATCTGACATAAATCCTGATGTTGTACTTGAGGTGAAGTTTTCTGCAACCCTCACCTTCTGTCACATCTGTTTTCTCTTGTTATTTTCTTTGGTTTCTGTGGTGTTGACCAATTGATTTTGTTTCTCAGAGCTATACATTAAATATCACAACAGTACATGGCTTTGAAACTTTCATGTAAGTTTGAGAAACAAATCATTCTGCCCAAGTAAAGAAGGTTGTGGAGTTTATCTTGTTTTAAGCTGTGTAGATAATTATGAAGCAAGGATGGTGGTGAATCAGGTAAGAGCAGAAATTTCTATGTCAAACTTTATAATATCCACTGTAGTTTTAGTTAAATGCCTTGTAATTTCATATCTACATTAAGTGGATCAGCATTCTTCTCATATGAGAAGAATGTAGAATATTAGATGTGTTATACTCCTTTTGTACAACTAAATTCTATAGCTAAATTATATCATGTTGCAGGCTTGCAACGAGTTGAACCAGACATGGATGGAATCTGGTAAGTGACATGATGTTCCTGCTATTTGTTACATATATCTGTATGGAACTTGTTTTGCTTGATTGTATGCATCATGTTGAGTGCAAACATAATGTTGTTTCGAGAACTGTAACAAGACAAGTGATTAAATATACAAAGACATGTTTTCTCAATTCTCAAGTGTTGTCTCCATTTCATAAATGAATCATTTGTTGCTATTCAAGTGGCATAAAGGTTTGAAGCTGGCATTATTCATTATCTGTACTACTTGAATAGCAACAAATGATTCATCTATGCTTAAACTATGAAAGAGAAGAGTATGCTTTATAGTTATTTATGCCCTTGCTGATGTTATACTCAAGGTTGACAGTAGAAATGAATTAATGCATATTCCACTTTCAAACGATAGAGATTTGTTTTCTTATGGTTCTTTTTAATTTGAACCCCTGCGCTTAACCTGCAGAAGATTAGATAATGACATAAAGTCAATACACTCTCCCTTTAGCAGATAGGAAAGGGAAGAAGAAATGGTCACACAAGTGCCACAGGCATGTATTGCATCTCTTTTAACCTATTGTGACTTGTGAGCATATGGATTGTATTTTTGTAACACTTGCATGATAGCTGTTTATCGGGCTATTATGTACTTAACCCCATGTTTTGGTTTTTCCTGGGGAAGTTTATTGTGCTTGAATTTGCTAGATTTAATTGAAGTAAAACCTGTGTACCATTTTGGGTGTACATCATATGTTTTCATCTCTAATTCTAGGCATGATGTGCTGGCTCGAGCTGCTTTGGAAATTTTTATTTAGATGGATTACCCAGTCTGAAGTAAGTAAAAGTTTTGGATTTGTGTGCAAAATTATTTTATTGAGAGAATATATGGTTAAAAATGAGTTTTTAGAGAATGTGGTTCAAACATGAGCTAAATTTATACGAGAACTTTTTAGGGTTTGCATATTCGATTCACCCAGACACCAATTGTATTGGATAGTATCGGAATCTAATAGCACCTGAGTCATCTGCTATGCTTTTTTCTTTTCTCTTGTTTTGGCTTATGTCAATAAGCTGTCTTTTAAGATTACTTTGTGAAAAAGATGATTTAAATATGTACTCAAGTACTCCTTACGTGGAATGTACATAAATTCTTTTTGTGCAGGTGTATCTGAAAATGCTGTTTCAGGTCATATACAGTTGTTGATTCCTAGTGAAACTGCTTGTTTTGCATGTGCACCTCCCTTGGTAGGTTTATTATCATTGCCTTAATTTCCACTCTACGTGGTTATTGCACTTGATTCAGATTGGTTGCTTTTTTTTTTTTTATGACAGTAGTGCTTGACAATTTATCATAATATATAGATTAGATTTACTTTAGTCATAAAGATACCATATTTTAATATTCACTTTTGTCAATTTTGATCTGGTACCCGCGAAGGGTACCAGTTATTATGCCAACCTGATTTTTTTTAGTATTTCCTTTACAATGTTTCTGACACCACTTGGAATTTTGTTTTAACACTCACCACCCCCCGCCTGACACTTTTGAACAAGTCAACACACACCTATCCCTATCAATTTTCCAAAATCAATGCAAATCAATAATAGTAACATAAAGTTAATTGACAACATTTCAACAACTCTTCACACGTGGCTACCCTATAACTTTTTTTAAAAAATAAAAAATATTTATTTAATAAAACCCAATTAACAATTTACCAATAGACTTGCTCTATGTCACTCTTGAATTCTAAATTCATTAATTAACTCGAACAAATTACAATTTAAGACAATGTCTTTCAACCTTGATAACTTGGACCTCGCTTATCCGAATCGACTTTTTCTTAAATCTAAAATAGATTATTAATTACTAGCTATCCAAAGAGCATAATATTAATATACTAATTCTATCTCTATCAAAATTTAATTATTTGACCCAAAAAATAAAAGTTTAAAACTTATTTCTCTATAATCCTTGAACTANAAAGTGCACAAAAAACAACTTTAAGCGATGAGACAATTTTAATATATAAACATTCAACAAAATAATGAGTAAAGCAAGTTTAAAATACCTAGTCTGAAGTGTGGGACAAGTTCTTCTATTGTGTCCATTAAGACCACATGCACCACAATTTCTACTGGGCTGAGACATCGCTTTCTCCTTCCCTGACTTTAGCCGCTTTCCACATCCTTTGGTCCTAACAGGATTTGAATCAACGGCAACCCGAGTCTCGTCAATGCTCTTGCTTCTATTCCTACTCATCTGGACATCTCCTCCATCGTCAATCTCTTTTGCCCGTATTTTGAGACTCCGAAACTCATCTATTAGAAAGTTGCTACGAGCATCTGTTAAAGCGCACTCTTCTACGAAATCTGATGCCATATAAATCATCATTCCATGCCTTGATAATAATGACTGCCCATGTGACACACCATCTCCAAGCTCGTATACATGGCTAACTTTTGCATTCTTTGTCCACCTCCGAAGTATATACTTATCTGGTAAAAGCATCACTTGTTTTTTCTTCATAAAAGAAAGAATATGATTACATGGATATCCATCAAAATCAAACATTTGACAACTACACGTGATGAGATCGGACTCAGCGAAATAAGTCAATTGCCGTTGTCGAGTGTCTGTATGCCCTGGATCACACTGATTAACCACATAAACTTTTAGTGTATCTGAGCTTGATCTCTTTGAGCAAATGTAGAAATTACTCTGCTCTAATTCTGTTTGGAAAAGCAAAAACACTGTCTTCGTGTATATACCTGCCATCTGATTTTCCATCATTGAAGACATGGTTACCCGTGGCTGCTCACTAAGATCAGTGTGGTTAGCAATTAACTCTTGATTTCTTTGATGCTTCAAAGCCCTGTTAAATCTTGTGATGAAATCCATCAAAGAGTTCTTTCTGTCGATGTATCTCTTAAAGAACACGTGACTGCTCTCCGATCTCTAGCTGCTGGACATCCTTGCTGTAAAGACGTGTCTGACGTACGCTGGCACCTATCGACTCTGTATTTCGTACATAGTTTGAAGACATTCATTAACCCCTAATTCAGTGGTTTCCATTACCTCGGTCTCATGGTGCTCGAACTCCTCCGCCGACTCTGATTTTCTAATGATACTTCCCAACCTATAGTTCTGCTCCCTATACAATACGATACTCATCTTCTCAGAGAACTTGGTCAAAATATGCCATAAACAATATAAGTGCAATGTACTAGGAAATACTTCTCTAACCGCTCTAGAAATTGCACCATCCTGATCAGTGATAATCACCCCTGGGGCAGCTTGACTAGGCATAGCTTCAAGGAACTTTGAAAAAAGTCAAACGAAAGACTCTGTTTTCTTATCGCTCAACAATCCGCACCCAAAAACAATAGTCTGGCAATGGTGGTTAACCCCAACAAATGGAGCAAAAATAATGGAGTACTTGTTTGTATTGTACGTTGTGTCGAACACAACTGCTTCGCTAAAATAGGCATATGAGCTTCTAAATTCATAGTCCACCCAAAAACATCGAGTGAAGACACCATTCTCATCAGTCTCGTAAGTATTAAAAAAGTTGGCGTTCCTTTCTTTCTCCAAACTGAAATGCTCAATAAGTGTCTTGACATCGTGACCCAGTAGTGCATGACAGACATCCCTTTGATTGTTCCTGATATCCTTGTCCCCACACCCCATCGATGATGGACCACCCGCATCTATCTCTATAAGTCGCACTTGCTGACACGTGGGAATATTCGCCTCAGAAAACTGTTGGATAAGTGCCATTTTTGCGACAGACACATTCTGATGTGATAGTAACAAATGTACCTTGCTAGGTGTAGTAAACGGGTGATTATGTGCCTCCACAAAATGACTGACAGCCTACAAATTTCCAGTTTGTTGTTTCACCACTGATAGTCTAGCAAGGTACCCACATTGTGTATGTTCACGATTTCGTTCCCCTGTACATTGCATGGAATTTTTAATCCTCGTCTGGTAGTCCTCGTTTGTCTTCCCCTTCCGTGAGCACACAAACATTTTCCATACAATCTCATTGGTTTCCTTGTTCTTTCTGCTGTTGTCTATTCGTGTGCTAAACCCCGCTTCTCGTGCATATTGATTGTAAAAATTGAATGCATCGTCGGTTGTTCCAAACTGTTGACCAATTTTAGGAATTGAACCGATAGTAACTTGGGGAACAAACACATTGTCATCACCTTCCATTCCTAATAAAATTTAACAGAATAACATATATCAATGTATGTAAAATACCACCTAATATTTTGATTCTTAGATTATTGTATGTGTCTAAAAAATTATGATTCATTAGCTCTCAGTCTCTATCTAAAAAATTATACTAATTAAGACTAGCTAAAATTATATCTGTTGTAAAAAGAATTCATACATACCCTTAAAAAATTCATTTCAAATGAATTCAATGGCAGTGAGAGGAAGAGAGAAAGCAACGCAAAGAAAAATGAAAGTGTTGGCAGTAGCACTTCAACGTGAATAAATTGCAAGGCTCTATATTGAACAGAAAGTTGATTGTGTGGGTGGGTGGGTCAAAATCAAGAAAGCAAAGTACATGTGTCAGGAGGGGGCGTTTGGGGGGGGTGGTGAAGAGTGTTGAATTGTTCAAAAGTGTCAGATGAGGGGTGGTGAGTGTTAAAACTAAGTGTCAGAGACTTTGTAAAAGAAGTAATAAAAAAGTCAGGTTGGCATAATAACTGAAAATTGTCACTTTTGTTTAGAAACTCTTTGCAATAAATAAATAAAACGTTGCTTAATGTGCAATCTATACTGTAAAATGAATATTTCTTTAATGGCTGAAACTATCCATCTTAGGTTGTAGCATCTGGGATTGATGAGCGTACATTGAAGCGTGAAGGGGTTTGTGCTGCCTCTTTACCAACTACAATGATATGCCTATTCTTTTAGCCTCTACCATATTCTTGGTTGGGCTTGTGTTAATATCAAGATTCAGCAAACTTGAAATGAAAATTTTCCCTATTTTTTTCTCTAGGTTTTTTTTTTCGATAACCGTGGATGTTCGGGCCAGCTTGGCGCACTTCGACTAATTCCACGGGGCCCTGAAGTTTACGGCCGGATACTCATCTTAGTGGCCCTGAGGGGGCTCGAACTGGTGACCATTGGGAAGCAAACCTAAGGTCTGACCAATTGAGCAACCCCTCAGGGTTCTTGCATCCCTACTAATGGCTACCATTTAGATTTATTATGGTAGTGTCGTGGAAATTTTTTTGCAATAACCACATGTTTCAAACGATATACGGTGCTATGGCTGACAAATTTACATAGCCAGGTCTTTGAGCTAGCTTTTGGTCACTCTTTCTGATTAATTATTGAATGTTATCCTGTTGTACATAAATCTAATACTTGCTCTTTCTTTTCTCTGCTTTATGTGCTAAATATCGGCTTTAGCATAGGAAGCTTATGACTTAACTATCATCTTTATTGAACAACTCAACACCAAGGTTTTTTATTTGTTGGCACTATCTTTTCAGATGATTGATATGAGACTTATCAGCACATTTCTTTCTTTCTGAAAATTCATTATTCATTGGTTAGCCATGATATCCATTATAATACATACATTTTCTTGTTTTTGTTAAAGAATATTTTTCTATACCATATTTGAATCACTTGAATATTTTATGGATTATATTTACCTTATCCTTGCAGATTTACATTCTTTTGTACAAAGAGTTTGCTCTTGCACTCAAAATTAACAGCGTCTATAGCAAGAGAAAGCTTCTAGACATTCATGAGAATGTCAGAGTGCTTCGCTATCCTGATCATTTTTCTAGTGGGGTCTACTTGTGGTATGAGAAGGCATTTCTTGTATTTCCTCTGTTTTTGTTTTGATTATCATTTGTTAATCAAACAGAAGTTTGTCCATGATGATGTCATATCTACTCGTATACAGGTCCCACCATGAAAAGATTGTCATCGTTGATCACCAGATATGTTTCATAGGAGGACTTGATCTATGCTTTGGCCGTTATGACTCGCCTGATCATAAAGTGGGAGACTATCCTTCTGTTATATGGCCTGGCAAGGATTATTACAACCCAAGGTATGTT